AGGATCGCTAGCGAGCTCAACGATTCTCCCTTCTTTACAACCCTAACTCTAAGTTATATAATCAATGCTTTATTAGAATATTGGATTCTTAATATCTAGTTCTTATTACTTATAACTTGTTTTCGTAATCTGCATATTGAATAAGTTATAATATCATCTTTCTTCTATCAGTTATTATTCTCAATAATCTTCTATAAGTATTCTAGCAAATCTCTGTATTCATAATCTTGCCTTTCTAATCGAGATGCTGAACAGAATTAACAAAATTGCGAAACTGAAATCCTCGAATCCTTGCTCTAACAAAAAGAAGCAGAAAGATCTCCTTTTTCAGTTCATTCTTTCAAATAGTTTCGATATGCATCTCTGTTCTTATTGCAACAGTTGAAGCCTGCAATTGTATATCGTTTCTTCTCATAATTTATCCTGTTGCTTAGAGTATATTTCTCAGAATCGTGCTAAGTATGATATTCTGAAGCTGATGAATGCTGCTGAACTTTTTCTTATTTCTACTCAGCATTGAAAGTTGGAGAATAAGATAGAAGAGTTGGAGTTGAAATTGCTTTAATTGCATTAACAAAAGAAGATGTGATATTGTTGTGGTGGCTAGGGTAGTAGTTCGTGGGATGTGGAGTACAGTGGGTCAAGGGTTCTCATACATATAAAGGATATCACTCACTTTTCAAATTCTTTAGCTATAAGCAACAATGAAGCATCCTTTCTCTTCTTTTCAATTTTGAACCCTTTGGACAGGTCTAAGACAGGTTTTTTCATCCTGTTCTTGTGCCCGTGTGGCCTTAGTTTGCTGTTCTCATCTGCACAGGCACGCTTGGGTTGCACGAGCCCTTGCCCATTGCTTCAGCAGCTGTTTGTCCCTTTTTCTTTCGAGAGCGACGGCGCCCTAGTTCTGGTTCAATATAAGAGGATATTTCGAGCTATTTGTTAAGATCTCAAGAATCTCGAAGAGCTTGAGAAAGAAGAAGCTGAGGAAGCTGAGGCTGAGAGAATGTGTATTGCTGCTGAAGTGCAGGCTGTAGTAGCTGAGGAATCTGCTATTATAGCTGAAGATTCTTCTTTTGAGAGTTTTGACTGGAATTCTATAGATCTAAGGAATTCTATAATTAATTAGTTGAGTTTTCTAGAGAATGAAATCTCTAAAAGCTCTGAATTTCGGTTTAGAGCGGAGCAATCGTTTTAGATACTAGTTTTTCTTTTCCAATATTCAGCTACTTTTTTCTAAGTATTTTTAATGTTTTTCTGCAGTTCTTATAAGTTTTTGCTTGCTAAGTAGCTTTTCTATTTGATGAGATATTCTCTTATGCTATCTATGCTTCTGTGCTTAAGAATCTTTTCTACTTCATATTCTGATTCATTATTCTCCACTTCTGCTGCATTATTTATTAGTATTTCCTATGCTGCTGATTCTAGCAATAAGATATGAAAAACTGAGTATATTCTTATTCTATAAGATAATACTAATTTATAATTAATTAGAGAGATTTGTTATAAGATTTTGAATAATTCTAACTTTTTGTAATTGAGTTTATTGCTAGATTTGATTATTTTAATATTTTTTCGAAGTAGATAAGCTTTATCTCTTTTCTATAGAATTGATTTCTCAATTCTTTTGGAGTTTGTATACTGTATTATTCATTCTTGAACGAATTGTAATTCTGATTAGAGTTTCTTCTGAACTTTCTTAATCTTCTTAATTCTTTTATCTGCAGCTTCTATATCTGCTTCCAGCAATGCCTTATAATAAGCTATTAGATTATATTTATAAAATATAAAGAATAATAATTTCTTTATTATATTTGTATCTGTATTATTATAAGCGAATTATACAAGAAGCAATAGATTAATTTAGTTATTCTATTTCTAGTTAATATAGTATTAAAAATATTATTTAATAATCTGATTTATTCTTTCTATCTATTTATTTATCTGCAAATAAAATGCTATAGATATTTTATAATATATTCTAAGCTGTTTTATAAGCAAAGTTTAAAACTTTGAATTAAACTTTCTATTTCTATTAGAGATTACTTCTTCTAATATGCTATAGTTAGCAATGATTGTTCTAAGGAATATATATGCAAGTTCCTTTACTATACTGCTTTTCTTATAAAGAAGAAAATAAGCATACTTGCTTAGTTTGCAAACTATTACTAGAATGCTATTATATTGCACTTTAGTTAAGAGTTCTTATAAGAGAAATAGCTTAGTAATAAAGTTTAAACTAATGAATTGCTAAATAGTTATAAATACTAATAAGAGATACAATAGTTTATAAAGCTTATATCTTTCTGCTTTATTCTTTTTGCAGCTATTACATTATTATAGAATATTTTCAATTCTTTTTCTAAGATCTGATAAACTTCAGTATCTTCTAATATATTCATAGATTGCTCTGATTTCCTAATATCTGTATACTAGTATATTATATATATTCTTAATATAGTTGTTTTATTCGTTTGGAATTATTAATTTTGAATTCTTTTCCAAAGATTCTATTCTAAGAATAGCATTCAGTTCTCTGTATATATTAATAAGATTTTCTGATTCATCTTGAGCAAAGATATTCTATATATTTAAAGAGTTTGCATTTCGATAATCTGATCTTTTGCTAAAAGCATCTACTTATTCATTCTCTAAGCTTTTGCAGTATATAATCTTGAAATTGAATTATAAAAGGAATTCTGCTTATCTGATTTATTACTTATTCAAAATCTTAATTATTATGAATATAATCAGATTCTTATAATTCAAATAAATTATAATTAAATGCTATATACTAATGAAATAGTATTGCTATTTCTTAAAAGCTTTTACTATTGCTATAAGTTTCTAATTAGGAATTCTATAATTGATTTCCGAGCTATTCAACTTCTTTAAGAAGTTGCTTACAATTCTTAGATACTCTTGATTATCTTGCTAGCTAAGTTATTCTTCAAATGCATATTCTAATGTATTAGTTTCAATTTTAAAAGGTTTATAGAGATCTGCTTTATACAGAATTGATTCTAAGATAATATACTTAATAATCTTATCGAAAGCTTCTTATATTTTGAGAATTTATTCGAAAAGCTGCTTCTTTTTAGTAAGATTTGTAAGAGAATATATAATTTAGCTGTAGTTTCTAATGAATTGCTTGTAGAAGTTGATATATTCGAGAAAGAATCTAATATTTCTAATATTTCTGAGAACTAGCTAATTCTTAACAGCTTTTATCTTATTTTTCTGTAGCTTAATATATTCTAGCTTGATTATGAATCCGAGATAGTTAATCTTTTATATATAAAAATAACTCTTTGCGAGTTCTATAAGAAGTTTTGCATTTTGAAGCATTTGCAATACTGTTTTCATATATTTCTTATATTCTTCAAGTATTTAAGAATAGATAAGAATATTATTAAGATAAGCAATAATGAACTAATTCAGATACTTATATAGAATATAATTGATTATTTCTTGGAATAAAGCTGAAGCATTTGTTAGATTAAAGAGTATAATTAAATATTTATAGTATTCATAGTATATTTTGAAAGTAGTTTTCCATTCTTCTTCTTTCTTTATTCTGATCAGATTATAAGCTTCTTTCAGATTCAGAACTATAAATTACTATACTTCTTGCAATCTATTTTATAATTCTTTAATAAGTAGTAATAAATATTAGTTCTTAATTATAATATTATTAAGTTGCTTATAATTAATATATAGCTTAAGCTTGCTATTTTTCTTAAGTATAAATAGAATAAGATATTCTGCTAATAATTATAATAATTATATATATTCTTTCTTAAGATTCTTATTAAGATACTTCTTAAATGCTTTTAGCTATGCTTTATTTAATCTGTAGATAAGAAAGAATTTAGGCTGTTTTCCTTCTTATAGCGGGATCTTGTGGTTGTATGAGCTGTATTCTGGCAATTCTGTATTCAATTCTTTCTAGAATAGTTTCTTGAACTTGTAATATTCTTATAGTATGTTCGCAAGTATTAGTTCTGATTCTTGTACTGTTTCTGCTATTTAGAGGAATAGTAGATACTGCTAAGCATGCTTCTTTTCATTTGTTGTTTTTGGTAATGTTTTTAAGAGCTTTTGTTATAACTCATTCAACATGCAGGTCACCAGCCAGAACACTCGGGACAACTATTCGAAAGATAGGAAAGGATTCAACACTTCAAGAACTAAGGCTTACATAAGCAAGAATTAGGATTACAGGATCAGGATGGATCAGTAGCTAATTCATAGTAATCCGAATCAGTTGAATCATTCAGATAATCCAAGTAATCCAATAACTAATACTATCAACAGAACTGAAGAGCTGAATATATAAGAATATATTCATTTCCATTAGATAGATCTCGTATATAGCTCTTTAGTTATTAATCTAAGTATCAGATTACTCTTTACTCTAATAGCTTCAAAAGCAGTGAATATTCGCATTACTTACTAAGACTTGTATAGTTTTATATTCAAGAATTTGATATTTTGATATTGTTCTTATTAGTATAAATTCTCTTTATATACTTTAAAATCTTCGGATTGCTGCAATACTTATTACATTTTGATAATTCTTGTTTAGAAATAGTTTAGTATTATCCTTTTAAGTAATACAGAATATAATAGCTTTTCCAGAAACTTCTTTATTCTTATATATTCCTACTCAGAAAGAATTAGTTAACTAAATATACTAGCTTATTTAGCATATTCAGAATCTGTATGAATAATAATAAGCTTAGAGCGCTACTATTGCTAATTAATAAGCTTAGCTAGCTTAACAAGCTCAGCAGGCGCAGTCTATCTCTGCAATCACTAGTAGCGCTAGAAAAGCATATAAGATAGATAAGCTTGCTATATATAATAGCAATTAAAAGATGCTACATAGATTTCTCATTCACTGCAGAGCATATTTCCTATACTACAAGACTTAGTTTATCAAGAAATCTGAGAAAGTTATTCTTGCAGAAATTCATTTCGAAAAGAATGCTCTTATCTAGTACAAGCTTTCTCTATATAACTACTTAAAGCATCAGAATAATTCCGATATGCATATCCAGATTATTAAGAATATATTTGATTCTTTTGAAAGCTTTGAAAAAGCTCTTAAGGAAATCTTTAGTAATTCCAATAAAGAATGCATTACAGCTCAGCAGCTTATAGATCTCAAGCAAACTAAATCAGCTTCTGCTTATATAATCAGATTTAAGCAACTCTTAGCGCAACTTCTGTAGAAAGATAAGAATCTTATAAAGCATTATTATAAGAAATTCAAGAATGATATTAAAAATGAAATCTCTAAACAGAATTAGCTAAAGAACTTTGCAATATTCTCTAATTAAGCTATCTGCATTAATAACTGTTTGTATAAATAATAAATAGAGAAATTCAAAAAGAAAGAAAGCTAAACTTAGAGATTTTCAGCTAATATAAGCAAGAAACTTTAAAATAAGAATAGCAATTGATATAGCAGTATAGCTTAGAGCAGTACTATATATGCTAGTTTTATAGAACTTAATGCTACTAATAAACAGTATAGCAAAAGAAATAGCATTACTTGCTACAATTATAACAAATAAGAATATATTATATGCAACTACTATTAATCCCGGAAGAACAAATAGCAACTAGTTTAGAAAGAATACTAAATAAATATTACTTAATAATAGGAATCTAATCAACTAAGCAAAAACACTCTCTTGAAGCAAGTATTGAATTCTATTGATTACAGAAATCTTAGCTGAATATTCTGCTATAATAATAACTGCTTAATATATTTCTCAAGTAAGAAAGGCTTAGAATAGTTTCTTTAGAAATCTAAGCGCTGCAGATAAATAGTAATAGTAGAACGAGAATGTATGCTTAGCATCCTTACAAGTAGCAACTCGAACTGCTCTGATATTGTGGAATAAAGCATTCAAGCATTAGAAGAAGAGCTTAGCAATAATACTTTTTAATATTCTTCATTGCTTATACTAAGCACTATGATTAGAGATATGAATAAGAGATAATATTCTTTTAGCTACTAGTATAAATATCTAAGCAATACAGAAAATGCTTCTCAAGCAACAGAAGGATTAAGCTAGAGCAAACAATCTAGCAGCTTGCAGAAGCTTCATAAGAATAATATATTTAATAAGCTTAAAGGAAGGTTTCCTTTCAGCATTGAGTAGAATAAGAAAACAATATAAATCGAATATCTTGTTTACAGAATAGAGCTGAAAAAGCTTTTTATCTGCATTTCCTTGCAGAACATCGAGATATAAAAAGATAAGAATTTTTGAATCAGCTCATTTTACAACCTATATTATAAACTAGCATAAATCTCCTACATCTATTATAGCTGCAGAATGCATTTCTCAGACAAGATGCAATACAAATAGTTTCTCATTAGAGAACTAGGATAAATCCTTCAAACTGTTGAAGAATAGAAACTCTGCTTCAGTGTTATAACTCATCCAACATGCAGGTCACGAAAACAGATTACAGGCAAACAAGGACCAGATATCATAACTCAACATCAGACAACTCACAAGGATTATGTAACTCAGGATTAGGATTACAAGCCAACCAATCGAACAATAGAACGATCATTAGTAATCACTAGCGCTCAGTAATTAGTAGTAATTCGGAATAATCAGTGATGATCTGAGATGATTACCAGCAAGCAAGAAACTGAAGAACCAGGTATATAAAGATTTACATTTCTTACTGCTAGATAGATTTCCTTCAGATAGTTCTTCAGTTATCAATCTAAGTATTCAGTCTTCTATACTAAGTAGCTTCAAAAGCAGTAAATACTTGCATTGCTTATCAGAACTTGTACAGTTCCGTATTTAAGAACTTAATACTTTAATACTGCTTTTGTTAGCATAAATCTCTTATATACTTAGGAATCTTCAGATTGCTGCAGTATTCATTACATTTTGATAATTCTTGTTCAAGAATAGTTTAGTATTATCTCTTAAGCAATACAGAATACGATAGCTTCTTCAGAAATCTCTTCATTCTTGCATGCTTCTACTCAGAAGAAACTAATTAATCAGATATATTAGCTTATCTAGCATATTCAGAATCTGTATAAACAATAGCAAGCTCAGAGCGCCACTATTGCTAATCAGCAGGCTTAGCTAGCTTAATAAGCTCAGCAGGCGTAATTCATCTCTGCAGTTATCAGTGATACTAAGAAAGCATACAAGATGAATAAGCTTGCTATATATAACAGTAATCAGAAGATGCTGCATAAGTTTCTTACTTACTGCAAAGCATATTTCTTGTATTATGCAATCCAGTTTACTATAGAATCTGAAAAGATTATTCTTACAGAAACTCATCTTAAAAAGAATATTCTTATCTAATACAAGCCTTCTCTATATAACTACTTAGAGCATTAGAATAATCTTAATGTATATATTCAGAGTATTAAGAATATATTTAATTCTTTTGAAAGCTTTAAGAAAGCTTTTAAGAAAATCTTTAATAATTTCAATAAAGAATATATTATAGCTTAGCAGCTTATAAATCTCAAACAAACTAAGTTAGCTTCTGCTTATATAATCAGATTTAAGCAATTCTTAGTGCAATTTCTGTAGAAAGATAAGAATCTTATAAAGTATTATTATAAGAAATTCAAGAATGATATTAAAGATGAAATCTTCAAACAGAATTAGCTAGAGAATTTTATAACGTTTTCCAATCAAGCTATTTATATTAATAATTATTTATATAAATAATAAATGGAAAAGTTCAAGAAGGGAAGAAGCTAGACTTGGAGATTTTCAGCTAATATAAGTAAGAAACTTCAAAATAAGAATAGCGATTAATATAGCAGTACAGCTTAAAGCAGTACTATGCATGCTGATTCTATAGAACTCAATGCAGCTAATAAGTAGTATAGCAAGAAGAATAATATTACTTGCTACAACTATAACAAATAAGAATATATTGCATGCAACTGCTATCAGCTTTAAAAGAATAAATAGCAACTAGTTCAGAAAGAATATTAGATAAATATTGCTTGATAATAGAAACTCAATCAACTAAGCAAAAATACTTTCTTAGAGCAAGTATTGAATTCTATTAATTATAGAAATCTTAGCTGAATATTCTGCTACAATAATAACTGCTTAACATATCTCTCAAGTAAGAAAGATTCAGAATGGTTCCTTTAGAAACCTAAGCGCTATAAGCAGATAGCAATAGCAGGGCGAGGGTATATGCTCAGCACAATTACGAGCAGCAATAACTTGAACTGCTTCGATATTACTAAATGAAGCATTCAAGCGCTGAAGAAAGAGCTTAATAATAATGCTCTTCGCTATTCCCTATCATCTGCACCAGATACTATAATCAGAGAAATAAACAAAGAATAATATCCTTTTGATTATTAGTATAAATATCTAAATAATACCGAAAACGCTTTTCAAGCAATGAAAAGATTAAGTTAGAATGAATAATTTAATAATTCACCAGAGTTTCTCATAAACAATGAATCTAAGAAGCTTATAAAAAGATTTCCCTTTAGCATTAGATAGAATAAGGAAACAATATAGATTAAATATCTTGTTTATAGAATAGAGCTGGAAGAACTCTTTATCTGCATTTCCTTGCAAAACATTGAAGCATAAGAGAATAAGAATTCTCGGATTAGCTTACTTTACAATCTATACTATGAACTAGCTTGAATCTCCTGCATCTATTATAGCTGCAGAATGCATTTCTTAAACAAGATGCAATACGAATAGTTTTCTGTTAGAGAATCAGAACAAATCCTTCAGGCTGTTGAAGAACAGAAACTTCACTTTAGAGAGATTCTTAATAAACAATACTATAATGCATATATCAAGCTATTGGATAATTGCTCTATATAATGTATAGATAAAAAAATAGAGTGATAGCAGTATAAGATGATATTCTGCATAATTCATATTAATAATAAAGTTTGCAACTAATATTAATAGAAGAAAGATTAGAAATAATAATAATATAAGCAAAAGCAAGCTAAGAAGCTTGCTTAAGAAGCAGCAAAATAAGCTTAGAAGGATAAGCAGTTCTTAGCAAATTCAAAAGAATAGGATTGCTTATAAAGAAATGTTATAACTCATTCAACATGCAGGTCACAGAACAGGTCACGAGTAACAGAGATCAGGTGTTGAAGACTCAACGTTCTAACAAAGCATTGATTACATAACCTAGGGTTAGGGTTGCAGAAACCTAACCAATCAGACAGCAAGACGATCACTCGTGATCACTGATGCTCAGTGATCAGTAGTAATTCAGAATAATCAATGGTAATCTGGAATGATTATCAGCAAGCAAAGAACTGAAAAACTAAGTATATAAAGATTCACATTTCTTACTGCTAGATAGATTTCCTTCAGATAGTTCTTCAGTTATCAATCTAAGTATTCAGTTTCATATACTGAGTAGCTTCAAAAGCAGTAAATACTTACATTGCTTATTAGAACTTATACAGTTCCGTATTCAAGAATTTGATACTTTAATACTGCTTTTGTTAGCATAAACTTCTTCGTATACTTAGGAATCTTCAGATTGCTGCAATGCTTATTACATTTTAATAATTCTTGTTTAAGAACAGTTCAGTATTATCTCTTGAGCAATACGGAATATGATAGCTTTTCTAGAAACTTCTTCATTCTTGCGCGCTTCTATTCAGAAGGAACTGGTTAATCAGATATACTAGCTTATTCAGCATATTCAGAATCTGTATGAATAACAGCAGGCTTAAAGCGCTACTATTGCTAACTAATAAGCTTAGCTAGTTTAGCAAGCTTAATAAGCGCAGTTCATCTCTACAGCTACCAATGATGCTGGAAAGGCGTATAAGATAAACAAGCTTGCTATATATAATAGCAATCAGAAAATGCTGCATAAATTTCTTATTCACTGCAGAGCGTATTTCTTATATCATATAACTCAGTTTACTATAAAATCTGAAAAGATTATTCTTACAGAAACTTGCTTTGAAAAGAATGCTTTTATTTAATACAAGCCTTCTCTATGCAATTACTTGGAGCATTAGAATAATCCTAATGCATATATTCAGAGTATTAAGAATATATTCGATTCCTTTGAAAGCTTTGAGAAAGCTCTTAAAGAGATCTTTAGTAATCCTAACGAAGAATGCATTACAGCTTAGCAGCTCATGAACCTCAGATAGATCAAGTTAGCTTCCGCTTATACAGTTAGATTCAAGCAACTCTTAGCAAGATTT